TGGCATCCCATGCGGGTGCTAGTTCAAGTCCCAGCTGCTCCTCTTCAATCCAGCTCTCTGCTATGGCCTGGGAAAGCAGTAAAGGAAGGCCCATGTCCTTGGGGCCCCATGTGGGAGACCTGGAAGAAGCTCCTGGCTTTGTATTGGCCCAGCTCCAGCTGTTGTGGCCATTTAGGGAGTGAACCAGGACCCCCCCCCCCCGCCTCTGCCTCTGCCTCTCTATAACTCTGCCTTTCAAATAAATAAATCTTTTTTAAAAATCTTATATCCAGAATGTATAAAATCTTTTGGGGCTGGGGTTGTTGCACAGTGTTAAGCCACTGTAATGCTGATATCCTGGTATCCCATGTGCACTTCTGCTCAAGTCCCAGCTGCTCCGCTTCTGGTCCAACTCTCTGCTATATGCACCTAAGAAAGCAGTGGATGATGGCCCAAATGTTTGGGTCCCTGCCATCCACCTGTGAAACTGGGATGAAGCTCCTGACTTCTCTCTGGCCAAGTCCCTGTTGCTGGGACCATTTGGGGGAATGAACAATCAAATGGAAGATCTCTCTCTCTCTCTCTCTAACTCTGCCTTTCAAATAAATCTTTTTAAAAACCTCTCAAAACTCCATAGAAAATAAATAATAAACAAAAGATTTAACCAACCACATCACCAATGAAGAGCTATGTTGTATAAGCATATGAAAGCATGGTCAGCATTGGTAGTCATTAGGAAAATACAAATGAAAATCGGTGAAAAACCACTACACACCTATCAGAACAGCTCATAAAAAATGACATTACCAAATGTTGAGAGAAGTTGTGGAGCAACTGGAACTGTGATGTATAGCTTGTAGGAACACAACCTGATGCCTATTTAATCAATTTGTTGGTTTCTTTAAAAAAAAAAAAAAAGTAAACATACAAGTTACTATGTAACCCAGCAGTCCCACACCTGGACATTCACCAAAGAGAAATGCAGAAAGATGTCCTCACAAAAACCTCTCCACAAATACTTCCAGCAATTCTATTCATGGTTGCTAGAAATTGGAAATAAACCTAATGTACATCAACTTTGGAATGGATAGACAAATTCTGTTACATCTATACAAGGGGACCCTACTCAGCAATAAAAAATAACCAACTACAAATTCATTTCATAATATGGATAAATCATGAAGGAATTATACAAAGTAAAGGAAGCCAATCTGAAAACATTACTTACTGTAATACTCATGTAATATTCTGGAAAATATAGATATGGAAGTTACAACACTAATTGCCAGGTGTTGGAATGAAAAGGAGAAAATTGACTACAAAATTGCATGAGAGAACTTTCTAGGACATCGGAAATTTTCTCTGTTCATTCTGGTGGTGGTTACACAATGCATACCATCCCAATTCACAGAACTATGCACAAAAAATTTCAATAAAGCAACAAAAACAATGTAAAATTTTAGAAATGCATTTTTTCAAATTTTGTAATATTCTGACTTTGTAAGTTAAGCTTTTTCCTGATCAATTATCTATAAAATATTGCCTGCATTGACTTAGCTATACTAACTCTTGAAATATGTATGTATTGGTTAAAGGCAAAATGTTCTAGGGACCAAAATTTAGAAAAGTAAATCATATTCAAGCCAAAAAGGAAAATATATTCATAACTTTGAACAATATATTCATACAGCACAGCTCACCAAATACTTATTTGGTATATATTGCCACAGTCTATAAACGGGCCAATTCTAAGAGCCCCAAATAGTCATATGGGGTCTCCAAATTTATATAACTTTGAAATTCGAAATTCGATGTTAGAAATACTTGTTGTGCTATAAAATTCCTAGATAAGATTGTGAAGTCCATTCTCTTAGTGTTTGCTTATGTACTAGATATTCCAAGTGTCAGCTATCTTATTTCTCCTACTCAACATTATTGTGAAAACCTAATGTCTGTTTTCATCGCCTCTTGTTAAATGTTGGCTCAACAGTTATTCACCATCACCCATACACCTGCTTCCCTCCTCAATGTTATGTTTGTCGAGGCATCCTCCAGCTCTTAGATGGCATGCACTTCTCCAGGAGAAAACAACTCCAGGCCCAGCCCCACGCCAGTTGCTGTGACCTCTTTCCTTACCAGTGCTTAAGGAGTAGTGTGGGCATATGACGCAATTTAGATCAGAGAAACTGGAGAAAAAGCCTAGTGGAGAGCTTCTGGAAAAGGGTTTCCTTGCTGCTCAAGGATCACAGGAGGAAAGCAATGTCTCCTGATTGTGGTAGCAGCTGGGTGAGACAAATGACCTGTTGGGACCTTGTATTGGTTGCAGCACCAGATTGCTGAGGAACCAGTCCATGGAGGGGCACAAGGCAGGAAAGTGGAGACAATCCAAGGCTCTGATAATGCTACTAAGTACCCCCTTCAATCCCGGAACTGCCCTGCTGGTACACCTCCAGTTACGAGAGACAGCAAATTGCTTTTAGCCAGTGGAGTCTGGCTTGCCTGTTATTTGGACCCAAAGGTATGATCGCTGATAACATCTACTTGCAGGAAATACACGATTGTCTGTGGTCAAGGCAGGACAGAAAGGAGGGGCCTGCGCTGTGGCAAAGTGGGTAAAAGCTGCCGACTGCAGCGCCGGCATCCCACATGGGTATTCGTTAGTGTCCCAGCTGCTCCACTTCTGATCCAGCTCTCTGCTGTGGCCTGGGAAAGCAGTAGACAATGGCCCAAGCCCTTCAGCCCCTGCACCCATGTGGGAGACCCGGAAGAAGCTCCTGGTTCCTGGCTTCAGATTGGCACAGCTCTGGCCATTGCAGCCATTTGGGGAGTTCACCAGTGGATGAAAGACTCTCTCCCTCTCTCCCTCTCTGCCCTTCAAATAAATAAATAAATCTTTAAAAAACCAGACAGCAGAGCATTCTGCAGCTATTTTCAGCCCTTGAGCATATAGAACAATATTTATTTTAGTGACTGAAAATAAGCCTAAATAATATAAATGTGTTGATAATAGGGGAAACTGGATGGAGGGTATATGGACAACTGTGTTGTCTTCACGATCTTCTATAAATCTAAAACTATTAGAAAATCAAATGTTTACTTTAAAATAGGAATAAAAAGTAATAGAGAATGGATTTTTGAAATGAAATTTACATGGTGGGGCTGGCGCCGTGGTTCACTTGGTTAATCCTTCACCTGTGGCACCAGCATCCCATACGGGCACCAGGTTCTAGTCCCGGTTGCTCCTCTTCTGTTCCTGCTCTCTGCTGTGGCCTGGGAGGGCAGTGGAGGATGATCCAAGAGCTTGGGAGACCAGGAAGAATATTTTTGTGACAATTCTCTTATATGGTCATTTTCATGCATATCCCTAGAGAGCTAAAGCACTTCCTAAAAAACATAGGGGGGCAGGCTCACTAGGCTAATCCTCCGCCTGCAGCACCGGCGCCCTGGGTTCTAGTCCCAGTTGGGGCACTGGATTCTGTCCCAGTTGCTCCTCTTTCGGTCCAGCTCTCTGCTGTGGCCCAGGAGTGCAGTGGAGGATGGCCCAAGTGCTTGGGCCCTGAACCCGCATGGGAGACCAGGAGGAAGCACCTGGCTCCTGCCTTCGGATCAGTGCAGTGCACCAGCTGTGGTGGCCATTTTGGGGGGTGAACCAACAGAAGGAAGACCTTTCTCTCTGTCTCTCTCTCATTAACTCTGCCTGTCCAAAAAAAAAAATAGGGGAACAGGAATTACTGTGTCCAGTCAATAGATAAGAAAGCAGCCATAGTCCAGAGGTGAAGTGAGCTGCAGCAGGTCACACACTCATCAATAACAATGCCTGGAGTGAACAACCCTGGCTTCCTGTGAAGACAGCTTTGCTTTCTCTCTTCTTCCTACTGTGGAGGTGCTAAGACTTTTTTCCACGAACTTTTGTTTTATTTTTTTTTAAAGGACATTTCCAATTTTCTAGAAACTATTCAGTTTGGTCTCAGAGTACTAATTAAAATGCCATGAGTTGAAGAATCTGGTTTTTCTCTCAATTTTAAGAATAACATAACTGGGCTATCAATTCATTGAACAAATGACTTGCTATTCCTAAACACCTCAAATTTCAACTAACTTTAACAACTTTTAGTACACTTATAGTAAGCATCAATTCAATAAAAAGATGTCTTTATACAAATTATTTACTATTAGAATAAATTTGTAAAAAGGAAAGATATCTCTTCCAACTAGTTTCTTACATATGAAGCATTCTTATTCTGAAAGTCATTAGCTTAATTAAATCTCTGTACATAAATTACATGGTGCGATGAAGTATGAGCTGAATATTGTTCAGTAAGCATGTCTCTGAAACACTGCTGTGCTATATAAAAGCCTTGTCTAAATAAAAATCCTTTAAAGCCTTGCAAGTGTCATGATAGAACAAAAAGACTGCTTTGACTTTTAAAGAAAAAAAAGACTATTATACCCACCAGGAAGATATGAAGGAAAATAAGGCTAGAACATTACTAACTTCACTAAACAAAGAACGAGTCAGTCCTATGAGACCCTGAAGGGCTCCCCCTGTGCTTTAAAGAGACACAGACAGCTGTCACTCCATCGTGATAGACAGGTGATCTATTCTCCCAAAAGTACATGGATGGAAGGAATGCTCTGTAATTAGGCCAGAAGACCTGAGAATGGGGTTGTTCATCCTAGAGAACATATCAGGAAAGTATGTTGGAGCCTGTAATTGCTTTTTAATCTTAAAAAATTTTAATTTTATTCATATATATTTTACTGACTTTGCCAATATTTTGTAGTCTTAGTGAATAAATACTAACAATAGATAAACAACTTATATATTACATACATATGTAGCTTAAGGATGTGTGCACATTTTTTCCCTGACAGCAAAATATGATCAATAACAGCAAGGATCTATGGGTACCATCCATGAGTGTCCACATGCATTTAATACAAAATACATACTGACTTTGACATGGCTCTCAAAATATATTGATCTGCTATGTCTTAAGTACTTCCAAGGGACATACTCACTTTTCAGATGTTTGGTCTCACTCTGGCAGTAAGTGCAGTTGAAGTCTAGGCACTGCAATCACAGAAAGTATATGATAGTTGAAGTATGATGTGCCATTTTGAAAAATGCCTTGGTATTACATTTAGAAAATTAATATACTCTACCATAAGAGCAAAAATAAGAGCCCCATTGAATTTGTAATTGAAAAATTCACTGCTTTTCAATTCCCCCACATCACACTAGAAAGTATCCTATCCCCCAGTGAGGAGTGGTTTGGTGACATGTACTAAAATAGGAAGATGAAAAATATGTAAATCAACAAATTACTATGTTGATTTTCTTATTTCATAATTTTTATCTATTTTGTTTGAGACAGAGCTCTCATCCACTGGTTCACTCCTCAAATGTCTGCAGTGGCCAGGGCACGGCCATGCCCAACTAGAAGCTGGACGTTCAAGCACTTGGGCCATCCTCCACTGCCCTCCCGGGCCACAGCAGAGAGCTGGATTGGAAGAGAAGCAACCGGGACTAGAAGCTGGTGCCCCTATGGGATGCTGGCGCTGCAGGCAGAGGATTAACCAAGTGAGCCATGGTGCCGGCCCCTGAGATACTCATTACCTGCTGCCTCCAAAGGCGTGCATTAGCAGGATGCTGAAATTGAGAGCAGAGTGGGGACTCAAAACTAAGTACTCCAATGAGGGATGCAGGCATCCTACCGAGTGACTTAACCCCAGGTCAAACGCTCGCCACTCCCCTCCACACCAAGCGTGTCAGGTTTAAACACTGATCAATGCCATTGGAAAATAGAATAGAGTCATAAAAGACAGCAATAAGGTGTGGAGAAGAAAGCACTTAGATTATGTGCTCAGAGTAGGTGACATACAGCAAAGATATAAATGAGATGGAGCTGTTTATGCAGAAATATGGGGCTGAGCATTCCAGGTGGAGGGACGGCATGGGTGAAGGCCCTAAGACAGGAAAAGAGCCCGTCTTGTTGGAAAGGGACATGGCAGCCGGTTCCTGAATATGATGACCAAAGAAGAAGGAAGTGCACAGACAGGGACAAGACTCTGTATGCCTCACAGATCCTAGTCAGGAGTTCTGACTTTAGTCTGAGTACAACTGGAAGCCATTGGAGTACATTGAAGCAGAAAACCAACAAACTATGACTCAAATTTTCCAATGGTTATTCTGACTGCAATGAAGCAATAAGATTCTAGGAGAAAAGACGCAACAAAAATCAGGCAAGAAGCAGCATTAATCTCAATAACCCAAAGTAAAAACAACTGGAGTGTCCATTGATGGATAAACAAAATGTGTTGTATTCATACAATGGACATTAGTCAGAAGATTCTGGCATGTGTTAGGTGGATAAAACTTAAAGACTTCATAATAAGTGAACCAAGCCAGTCATGAAAGGAGAAACATTGCTTGATTCCACCTATTTGAGGAGGGCACCTAGAACAGTCGAATTATCAGAAATAAAGTAAAATGGTGGCTGAGGGACTGCAGGAAGGAAGGAAGAGGGAGCTGTCATTTCTCACTATAGAGTCCCAGTTTAGGAAGATGAATGGTGATGATTGTGCAACAATGTAAATTAATTTCACTGTGTACTATCCACTTAAAAATGGCTAAAACAGGAAGCAGGCATTGTGGGTCAGTGCTTAAGTCACCACTTGGGATGCCCACATACCATATCAGAGTGCCTGGGTTTGAGGCTCATCTTGCTTCTAATCCAGCTTCCTGATAATGTGCACCCCTGGGAGACAGAAGATTATGGCTTAAGTATTTCAGTCCCTCCCATTCATGCGGGAGACTTAGATGGAATTTCTGGATCCTGGTTTCCGTTGACCCAGTCCCAGCTATTGTGGACATTCGAACCAGAAGATGGAAGGTTACTCTTCCTCTCATTCTTGCTCTTGCTTTCTCTGTGTGTATGTTGCTCCACCTTAAAATAAAAATGAATTTAAAAAGCCTAATTGATTAAAGTGGTTATATGTATGTACAACATATTTTATCACAACAAAAACAACTAGCAATTTAAAGGTAACAGGCAAAAACGACGATGGCTTAACTAGGTGAGCAGAAGCAGATAGGCAAGCGATATATTTTGGAAGTAGAACCTACAAGACTTGTGGGTAGTTTAGAGAAGGGAGGGAAGAGGGTAGGTGAAAGAAAACAGATTCCAGAATGACTTCTAGGTGTGTGTATCAAGAGTGGCCAGTGGCACCGCTCACAGGGCGGGAGAAGGCCTGGGCTGGCCACGGTGGCAAAGAACGGGCAGAGCAGAAGTCCAGAGTTCCGTGCGGGATATGGCACGTTGGAGATGCCCGCTAGATACAAGTGTGAGCGTCAGGCTGACAGTCGAACGTTGAGTCTGAGGGTTGGGGAGGCGGGGGGGGGGGGTGGCTGTAGTATTGCTTACGAAATCCTAGGAAGAGAGCAGTGAGAGAAGCTGGCCTGGCCATTGTAGTTGGCTTGAAAGCTCGGGACCCGTCATACAATCCAAGACACCAGAATAGCTTTGAATGTAAAATACCTAATCTCTTTCTAAAAACTAAGGAAAATTAGGATGAGATGAAAATAGTCTTCAAGAAGGCCCTGAAGAGTTCCCCCAAGTTCCTCGACTCTGGGACATCATTCTGTGTCAATGACATCAATGACACAGTGTTGAAGGTCCCTTCCACCTCGCCTTGTGTTCGCTTTCTAGTGGTGAGTAGCTTTTTTTTTTTTTTTTGACAGGCAGGAGTGGACAGTGAGAGAGAGAGACAGAGAGAAAGGTCTTCCTTTTTGCCGTTGGTTCACCCTCCAATGGCCGCCGCAGCCAGCGCGCTGCGACCAGCACATCGCACTGATCTGAAGGCAGGAGCCAGGAGCTTCCCGTGGTCTCCCATGCGGGTGCAGAGCCCAAAGACTTGGGCCATCCTCCACTGCACTCCCAGACCATAGCAGAGAGCTGGCCTGGAAGAGGGGCAGGGACATAATCCAGTGCCCCAACTGGGACTAGAACCCGGTGTGCCAGTGCCACAAGGCGGAGGATTAGCCTATTGAGCTGCGGCGCCAGCCAAAATTGAGTTATTTTTACTATAGAGGTTTTTTTTTTTTCATTTTTTTTTTTTTGACAGGCAGAGTGGACAGTGAGAGAGAGAGAGAGAGAGAAAGGTCTTCCTTTGCTGTTGGTTCACCCTCCAATGGCCGCCGCGGCCAGCATGCTGCGGCCTGCGCACCACGCTGATCCGATGGCAGGAGCCAGGTACTTCTCCTGGTCTCCCATGGGGTGCAGGGCCCAAGCACTTGGGTCATCCTCCACTGCACTCCCTGGCCACAGCAGAGAGCTGGCCTGGAAGAGGGGCAACCGGGACAGAATCGGCGTCCCGACTGGGACTAGAACCCTGTGTGCTGGCGCCGCAAGGCGGAGGATTAGCCTAGTGAGCCGCAGCGCCGGCCAGTGAGTAGCCTTTTTATGTGGGCGTTAGCTTGCTAACTAGCGTGTCCCAAAGTGAAGAACATGTGTAATAATGATGAGTCACTCCCACAATTAATGCGATGTCCTCCGCATAAAAGATGCTTGATATGTGTGTCCACTGAAGGGTGAGGACCTTCAGCGGGACAGTGAGCTCGTCCTCCAGTAGGAAGAAAAGTTGCTTGTCCTGAGGAAAATAGCAGGCTAAAATATGGAATGGTAACTATTGACCTTTTGTCCCTATTTTCTTTTTTGCCTAAATTGTCTAGAAAGAGAAAAAAACAGTATAAATTATTTAAATGAAATGGCGAATTCAAAAGGTCAATGTCACTTCTTCACTTTGAACTGAATATGTTTAGCACAATAGGAGCTTGAAAGGTTACTCATTAGTAAAGATCTCATTTAATTTTTTGAAAAAAAAAAAAACAACCCTGATTATCATAAAGTGACAGGCTGGAAAGTCTCTGTGGATTCCTGCACTCTGCTGTTCCATGACAAGTCAAATTCAAAACACGCCACAACACTCATCACTCACACTCATTCACTCAACAAACATTCACTGGCTACCTACCGTGAACCAAGTACTCGATGATAAGACTTGCCATCAATTCTCAAGTAACTTAAAGTTGTACTCAGTCTATTTTCCTTGAAAACAATAAGAGAAAAAGGCGTTTTCGCAATCTTCGGGCAAAAAGCAAGGTCTCCTCCAAAGCAGAATTTGTTATGTTGGGACTCTTCTAAATAGCATCTGATAGAAAACTGATTTGTAGATAAATGATGTGATCCTAGGTCGCTGGGAGATTTCTCCCAGCCTAAGATCAGTGTGATGACGTGTCAGAAACAGCTGCTTTACCGGCGACACTCCAGTATCTAGAGAAAGAAGCAGCCTCACAGAAGAGGGGCCACAACTTGAAGTTAGATCGTGGGAGTCAGAAGGAGAGAGCTGGCTGCCAAAGGCAAGCAGGCTGGGTTCTCAGTCAGCCCAACGGATGCCAGCTAAGGGCGAGTCTGCTCTTGGAGGTGGCCCCATCATGTCAGCAAGGCCATTGACTTTGGAATCCTATAGCTAATCTCCCATGTTTGGATTCCATATGTATCAAGCATATTTCTCCTGAGAGTTTGGAATTTCATTTAGATATTCCTTGCTGACATTTAAAAAACTTGTCTTAGAATAATATTTGAATTTTAACTATGTAAATTGGCGTTCTGGTTTACTTATCAGGCTCATGTGAGGTTGGCTCATATGAGTCTCGGGGTATTGACGATATCAAATTTCAAAGCTTGCATATCTGAAGGCTCTACTTCATTAAGGCAGCCAGTCAACCTCCTCAAATGATACCCTAACCATAGCTTAGGAGCACTTTTAAAGCCTCAGCAGGGCCGGCGCCGTGGCTCACTAAGCTAATCCTCTGCCTGTGGCACCGGCTCACCCAGTTCTAGTCCCTGTTGGGGCACTGGATTCTGTCCCGGTTGCTCCTCTTCCATTCCAGCTCTCTGCTGTGGCCCGGGAGTGCAGTGGAGGATGGCCCAGGTCTTTGGGCCCTGTACCCACATGGGAGACCAGGAGAAGCACCTGGCTCCTGGCTTTGGATTTTCGGATCAGCGTGGT